TAATGAGATCATATACGTATATCTATCTATCTATATATATGAAATGGACAAAGTCCGACAATTATTTTAAGACATTTTATGTTTATACATTCTTTTTTTTGACGTGCCTTTACCGATTTGGCCACGAAGGAGCGTTCGGTTAGCAAGGTCGAACTTACTGTATTTAAACTTCAATATATATTAAACGCATATTACATGACATTTGGGCTTACGGTTAAATCATGCTGCAAATAACTCATGCGCGTGTGTTTGTAATATGTACAATAGTAAACAAAAATAGAAAATGATGAGACTATATATATATATATATATATATATATATATATATACTATTAAAATATTTTTATTATAATAGATCACAATAAAAACATTTTACACATCGCTACACAAAAACTTTCATGTTTCGGAAATTTAATCGTTCCTATTCGGGAGATGGTTGATAACATATAATAAAAATGATTTATTTGGTAAATTTGAAAACAAATCGTTACCTCTTATGAAAGTTAAAAAGGTGGGTGGAGCCTAATGTCAGGATAAAAAAAATATACTTGTGGGTATGAAAAATAAGGTCAGAGGGTAGAGGAGGGCGTATTATTAATTCTTAATTTGAAAAAGTCAATGTAAATTGACACTTTTTTCTTTTTTAAGATATATATATATATATATATATATATATATATATATATATATATATATATATATATATGAGCAGGAAAAACAAAGGTAAATTTCAGTTGTGACGTTTCGTAAAAGATCATAAGAATAGATGAAGAACTGGAAGAAATCCAGGAATACGTATACTTATGACTGGGAATAAGATTAAAGAAATCTCACGGAAACGGAATAAAACGATGTATAAAGATATACTGGGAAGAATATGTGTGTGTGTGTGTTTCAGTTGTCGTTTCTGATATCGATTCAAGATAATTCTTTCACGAAGACAACACATCTGCCTTAGACGACGATTTGCGTGCGTGGACGGAAATCAAGTTAAAAGGCAGGACACAGAAGTCATCGAACTTGAAGATCAAAAGTTGAAAGGAAGTCAAATTAAAATACCTCTGATGGAATGCTTCCTCCTAACTCTCCTTTTACTTGTAAAACTTAAAAGGTCAACTGAACATGGAATCATGCAGCCTGCTTTTCCAAAAACGCAGGCTGCAAATTGGATTCAAATTGTCCCAGATGAGCTCAAAGAAGATTTTAGATGTGCGGACATCAGACGACATTTGAATAACGAGCGCGCGAAAATGACGACCAATTATTTACTGTTATGAAAATGATGAAATGCTGAGTATTAAATGAATTCTGTTCAGTAATTCATAGTTTGTTTTAGTTATGATATTGAGTATATATATATATATATATATATATATATATATGTGTGTGTGTGTGTGTGTGTGTGTGTGTGTGTGTGTGTGTGTGTGTGTGTGTGTGTGTGTGTGTAAATATGTGAATGAAAAGTTTAAGGTCCTGTCTCTCGACTCAGAGTTTAGCAGATACAAGCCTGCTTTTCAGGGTAAGTTAAATTAATTGATTTTTTTTTAACATACTGGGTGTAACAGCAAAATTGTCCATTTGTTAGATTAAGCTTTGAACCGTTTATCTTAGAAATGATTAAAGATATCTTACTGGAAATCGCCGAGGTTTTTATGACTCAATTGGACTCGACTTTGAACAATAATCATGTATTTAGCTCTAAGTTGAAATGAGGATCCCTCTTCCTGTCGTGACCTCCTGATTCAGTTTTCCTTTCTACTGCTCCTTCTTTTTTAAACTTATTGATCATTCTCATGATGGTTCTTGAATGGACATTAAAGATGGAAGCCAGAGTATGAATGTTGGTATCATTACTGAAGGCCTGAATGACCTTTTTCCTCTCACCATTGCTCAGTTGGGAAAACATAATGGGGCTGACACAAAACGATTTTAACCTGTTCTCTTTCTAGCAGAATAACTCAAAAGGGTTTTTCCGTGATTCTTACGACAAATGGTGTGAAGATAGTTAAATGTTTTATCTGAAAACCTGGGGAAAATGAAACTCAATTAGTTTAGTGTTTTTCTAGATATTAAACATTTTGTGGGATGGACAAATATCGCATTTGTTACACGATTTGGACAATTTTTCTGTTAAAGCCGGGATATCATGTCTAGTTTAAAATACCTTATATAAACAAACGTTAATTCTTGATGTCATTTTAACTTATCTGCAAAACTCAAAGTTAGAAAACAATTTTTTGAACTTACATTCATTTATTTATTTTCCATTAATACACCCTTTCTTGATATTAATACTTTCAGCCTTGACCACCGGTTTACCGGTGGCAGAGAAAAATGACTTAATGCCCAGCCACCGGTTGAACGGTGGGTAAACACTTGTAACTATTTTTATATCTACCGTGAAACATTACATAGCAATTATTTGCGAATTTTGACTCAGGAGCTCAGGCAGAAGGGTTAAAATTGTTCAGGAACTCAGGGCTCAAAGGTTTAAGCCTTAGTCAGAAGCTTTGAAGTATTGTCCTTCATTGATACGCTGGTCGACAGGGGAGGGGGGAGTTATTAGGCGTAAGAAATATTTGTTTTTTTCTTTTTTGCAAATAAAATGTTTATGTCTGGAACGAACGTACGAATAATGGACTGCATACAATTTTCCGCTGACTCTATGTGCTCATCACTTCCGGATACTTCTTATTGTTCTTAAGAGGTTTCCGTTCTGCAACTGTTCTATGGGACAATCAATGGCAGATTTCTTTAGTCATATCTCCATTCTGTCACTCACCGTACCAAGTGTACCAGACTTGGTATTGAATTGGTACAACAGTGGCCTTCTTTAACTACCAAAGCCTTGCGAGTTCAAACGTTAATTGCTCATGGCTTATGATTTTCTCTTCTTCAATTTGCTTTGTGTATCAAATGGACATAATGGAGTCAAGATTAAACATTTATTTTCTATTTTCCTCCACCATTACACACACACACACACAAATATATATATATATATATATATATATATATATATATATATATATATATATATATATATATATAGTCTTAAGTTGTGCTATATTTGTGGGATAAAGTGCTCAATATCAGAGACAGAGTGTGTGTAAATATAAGAGTGAACATTGAAGTCAACACTTAGAGGCGACAGTCTGTTTCATGCTAGACGAAATCGTCAGACCACGAGTGTTCTTCTTTTTCTCGGCTATTTATATATACGTGTCAGTGGGGCATTGTGGGTAGTATATTTTGGCGGTTATTTTGCCGGAAGTCGTTTATTTATTTGGGTTAAATTATTTTGCTTGTTTTTATTTATTTCTATTTTTTATTTTTTTATTTTTATTTTTATTTTTTATTTTTATTTCTTATCTTATATATTTATTTATTTGTTTTTATTTTAATCAGTGTTTTATTAACGTAGTAAAAAAAAATTTATATCGCTTATTTAATAGTTTTGTTTTGGTTTGGGATTGGTGCGCGTTTTGTTTTTAATTTCACAGATATACTTAGAAAGCATTGTGCTGTTCGAATATTTACTATTTGTGAAAGATGTTTTGTGTGCATAATTTCTTTGTTTCCAGGGTCCTTCAGTTACTTCTATGGATACTTTTCCTTCATTATCGTGGCTTGGTATATTACGTAATTACAACGTAATATACAAGTATGGTATACAACGTAATAATGATAAAACAAAACGCACATCACATAAAAATATCTTGGAAAATAAGGAAAAGATCATTAGGCTACAACAACCAATCCAAAACTTGCAAACTTTGCTTGGAGGAAAAAATAGCTATCATTACCTTCCCAGACCAAAATAAATTATTAAGTAAACGATCCGAGTTCGTCCCAAAATGCAGACATGAAAACAAATTTTTACTACGTTACTTAAAAATCGAAAACTAACTAAATAAAATAAAATAAAATAAATAAATAAATAAACAAAATGACAATAAAATAAGTAAAATAAATTAACCCAAACAAATTACCAAATCATACCCATTAGAATAGACGAAACTGAAGAAAAAATAAAAGGCACAATCAATGAACCCAAATAAATAAAGTAAATAATAAACAAATTATCAGACTATTAAAATCAAACCAAAAATCGGACGAAAAAACATAGCTATGTTATATAACGATAAAAAAAAAAATTACGTTACTTAAAAATCGAAAACCGAAAAGAGTAAAATATACAGTATAATAAATAAATAGTAAAAAACAAGTAAAATAAATTAATCGAAATAAATAAACAAAATAACAAACCGATCCCGATAAATTAACCGTTAGAAAAACATGTAAAGCTAAACAATCCAAATAAATAAATGAAGTAATAAACAAATTAAAAACTGATCCCGCCAAAATAATAGTTAGAATAAACTACAAGAATCAAACCCAAAATTGAATAAATAGCTTAAATTATCTTACCAGACCAAACATTTTTACTACGTTAATAAAACATCGATTAAAATAATAAAATATATATATATATATAAGATAAGAAATAAAAATAAATAAAAACAAACAAAATAATCTAACCCAAATAAATAAACAAATAAACCACTTCCGGCAAAATAACCGCCAAAATAGACTACCCACAATGCACCACTGACCCGTATATTTAAATAGCCGAGAAAAAAAAATCAACACATGTGGCCTGACGATTGCGTCAAACATGGAACAGACTGTCACTTCTAAGTGTTGACTTCAATGTTCACGTGATAAAAATTGATAAAGAAAAAATCGATTTCTGGAAATTTTTTTTTCTGAATTCTGTAGTGTTACGTTCCTTGTTGGCTGCCAGGTCATGTAATTTAAAAATGGGATATTTTGGCAGTAATCCCTATTTTATGCATGTTTCATTAAAAACAACTGACAAATAAATAAAAACAAACTTAGCCGCAGTACCCTGTCAGTCGTTTTCAATTAAACTTGATATATATATATATATATATATATATATATATATATATATATATATATATATATATATGAAGTAATCTATCTATCTATCTATCTATCTATCTATCTATCTATCTATCTATTCCAGTCTGTTCATTATCTATCTATCTATCTATCTATCTATCTATCTATCTATCTATCTCAGCCTTTTCATATCTATCTATCTATCTATCTATCTATCTATCTATCTATCTATCTATCTATCTATCTATCTATCTATCCCAGTCTGTTCATTATCTATCCATCTATCTATGGAGCCCAGTCTACTGTATTGTGCTATATGGCCAATGAGCCTACAAAAAAGCCCATCCGCCCTTTGACAGGTTTTGCCTTTAATCCTGCTGGATAACTAGCCATCCTCTTCACCAGAAAAGCCTGGTGGAGGGACCGGTTAAGTCGTCGATGGCACCACCGTGTATCATTTACATTTGCTAGTAGCCCTCGTTGAGTGACTTAACATAAATATGACATAAACCATTTTGCTGAAATTAATGCAAGGAAATATATCCATTCATTGACTATTGCCCATCTTGCCAGAAACTGTTTCACTTTGTTGAGTGACTTATCACCCGTTTCGGTTATTTTATGTCGAAATCTAGATATTTTCTACGTAATTTTATACATTCAGCATAAACATATGTTTTTTTAGATGTATACTTTGCAGATGATAAAATTTGTTGGGAATTTAAAACAATGTATTGTCAGTAATTTCGCTAAAAAATGTGCTGTTAGCACATTTTTTTTACAAAAATGTATTTTTATACGTTTTTTTATGTTGTATTGATTGTCATTTTACTAAAAAATGTATTGTTGGTAATTTTGTCGTAAGAATGTACTGTTGATTTTTTTTTTGGAGGGGGGGGGCATGTGTGGTTACTATTTACTACTATCGTGGGTCAGGTTTCCCCGAAGAACAATAACAATTAAAAGGTGGTTCTACGCTCCTCAAAACCTTCAAAATCCCAATCAGAGGCATTGCTGCCGATTGTAGTTTATCGTCATACCCAGGACGACCTTGCCGAAAAAAAATTCTCAAATAGAACTACTTTAATATCATGTTATTCATCTGCTTCAGCTATTAATCCAATAGAAAACTTATAGGCCATCATTAAAAAAGATTTACATGAGAATAGAAAACAATATTCAAAGAAAATCTCTGGGAAGTAATGATAAAGTCGAAGTTGAAGAATAGGTAACAAAGTTCATTGAGTGATACATGTTGCCGAGGGAATGACCGTATATATTCCAGCAAGTATCTGTTTCGTTTTGGAGACGTTAAAATTAACTAGCCATTTCTTGCCCCAGTTAACAACAGATTGAAGGTCATTTTTGTATCATCTTCCAAACTGTCCTTATCGAACCGATCAGTATTACTATATTTACCGAATTAAAAACTGATGGCATCGGGAAGGCCATAGATGAAAATTAGGAACAGTGTAGGTCCAAGGAAAGAGACCTGGGAACACCTGCATGAATGCAAAAAGATCTAGCGGAATGGCCGTTCAAGATAACTTACATTTCGCAATGTACATGTAAAATATTATTCAACCAAAGATCTTTGGGAAGCAATAAAAACTACCGCAAGTAATGTAAAATGCAATAGATAACTTGTAATCCATTATTAAAAGAGATGGCTTTGAGAATGAAAAACTGTTTCCCGGACTGCATGAATTTAAGCGTGCTACTAGGTTGGTTTACTGTCGAAACAGTTAAATGTAGCCGCCTCTTCTACTCCAACAATCTCTTATCTCGCACTTCCCGTCTGTGGAACTCCCTCCCTCTTACTTGCTTCCCTGATAACTATGATCTTCAAATATTCAAATGTAATGTCAATCGACATTTTCTGATGCCTTGATCTTGTTCCCCGTCCTTCTCTATATCCTTTCCTCAAACACCCACCTCTTTACTCTCACTCTCTGTAAACCCTTGCATGCTAGTGGCACTCCCGCATTGCTTGGGGTGATATGCTTAATAAAAAATATTCAAGTAAAGAAAATCTCTGGGAAGCAATAAAAACTGCTGTAAGTAACGTTAAAGTGAAAAACCGTGGAAAAGTTAATAAAAATCAATGGTTCAAAGACAGATGAAGGGTATAGAATGTCAAAGAGTCTATATAAACTTTTGAAATAATAAAATCATAATTTATTTATGTATATGGGGATATTTTCCTAATCAAATATGAAGAATGTTTTCTTTAAGACGGATTTATATATATATATATATATATATATATATATATATATATATATATATATATATATATATATATATATATATATATATATATTATTTCACTGGCTTTTTTCTGGGTACTTTGACGCAGTATAATGGTTAATATACCAGAACAGTTTCGATTGCGTCGTACGATCGATCCTCATTGGGCGCTTTATAATTGCGGCCATGTATCACATCTAAGGCGTGTATCCCTTTCTAAAGAACCTTCCGATATAATGTCGTAGTTAAAAAGATTGTCTCGCTAGATTCCGAATGAGTAGTGAGTTCAAGTCTCATTGGGCGCTCGTCTGTTGCGGTCTTGTGCCAAATTTAAGCAATGTTTAGTAAATCAGTGTATCCCTTCCTAAGGGGGAGAGGGGCTTTCGGCATGGCGTAATGGTTAACAAGCTTGTCACGCTACATCAGTTACAACTAAGTAGTAATTTCGATTCTCACTGAGTGCTGCATTTAGTAAATAATTAAATGAGCACATTTCATCTCGCTCTGTCTTTCTCTCTCTATAGCACTCTCTCTCTCTCTCTCTCTCTCTCTCTCTATATATATATATATATATATATATATATATATATATATATTATGGAGAAATATAGTTTCAAGTTGTGCTATATTTATGGGATAAAGTGCTCAATATCAGAGATAGAGCATGTGTAAATATAAAAGTGAACATTGAAATCAACACTTAGAGGCGACAGGCTGTTTCACGCTAGACGCAATCGTCAAGCCACGAGTGTTGTTTTTTTTCTTGGCTATTTATATTATCAGTGGTGCATTGTGGGTAGTCTATTTTGGCGGTTTTTTTTGCCGGAAGTCGTTTATTTGTTTATTTATTTGGGTTAGAATATTTTGTTTGTTTTCATTTATTTTTTATTTCTTATCTTATATATTTATTCCTTATTTTGTTTTGGTTTGGGAAGATAATTAAAGCTATTTATTCAATTTTGGGGTTGATTGTTGTAGTTTATTCTAATTATTATTTTGGCGGGAGCAGTTTTTAATTTGTTTATTACTTCATGTATTTATTTGGATTGATTATCTTTACTTGTTTTTTCTAACGATTATATATATATATATATATATATATATATATATATATATATATATATATATTACATTACATTACACCTACGTATTTAATTTATCTTGTTCTCAGAAGTCTGAAGTGTGTCATCCTTAAAAAAAATCGTTGGGGGTATGGAAAGGTTTGGGGTTGTTAAACATCCAAACTCTGAAGACAGCTTCTTCCTTTGAATAAATTCCGAAATAACACAATGAAGAATTTCCGTGTGGTCCATTTAATCTTCTGGAATTAGACAATGGCGTCATACTAAATCGTTCTTCCACCCACGCACAGCCCCACCCTACCCCCGTTTCATGATTTCTCCACTTCCCAATACCACACATTCGTCTACATAAACAGACTCCCTCTCATTCTTTCCCCCCGCGCTATCACCTCTCCTCGCACACACACACACACACATATATATATATATATATATATATATATATATATATATATATATATATACATAAGTGTATAATAACCACTCTCTTGTAAGTGAAAGCAAAAAGCTGTTAACTTTATCAAGTTTGGCTGGACAAATATATATATATATATATATATATATATATATATATATATATATATATATATTTGTGTGTGTGTGTGTGTGTGTGTGTGTGTGCATGATAAAAACATAGTTTTCTGATATGCAATATTTACGGGATAAAGTGCGGAATATCAGCGATAGAGCGTATGTAAATATAAGATTGGACATTGAGGTCAAAACCCAGCTGTGACGTTATGTTTCATGCTTAAATGCCATCATCAGGCCATGTATGTTGTGTTTTGAATCGACTATTTATATATGCTGGTCAATGGTGTATCATGGGTAGAAAGTCTATTGTATTATCCTAACAGTTATTTTGGGTGCGGTAACGGTCATGTTTCGAAATATTCTAGGGTCTGTGGAGTGGAAATAATTGTGGATCTGAATGCAGTTTTCTGGCTATTTTACAGTGGTGGTTGTTAACTATTTTTACTCGTTATTGATTATTGATTATTTTGGTATTGATTACTGTTGCAGGATGACTACTGACGATAGTGGGTATGCCTCTATTCCCATAAATACAGTAGTAAATACTGTATGTTGGTCTGCAGTTGGTGATTCGTCTTCAACTGTACTGATCAAACTCTCTGCATCCGGGCAGAGAGGATCCCCAGACGAGGCTATGTCGAAGGGCATAGTCTCGTCTCGGGGAAACAGCTACCCGACCCCGTTTTATACGGAGTCTAGAGGGAATTTGGGGCCGAGCCTACGGGCTCGGATACCCCACATTAAATTCGACCTTGTGCCACAACTGACTGCGTGGGGCGGTTGGTAGATATTCTGCAGTTGAAGATTCATTGTGGAATTCACTCGACTCACTTCTAGCAATTGACTACTTCTACGCGCCGCTGGCGAATCTTATATGTGTTGTTCTTGTCCTAAGTATTATCGTTCATTACCAACCTTCGTGTGATTATTCTATTCGACAACCTTCGCAAGGTTACAGTTTGTTAATTTTATTATTTACTTAACTTGTTTACTTATTGATTCAGATTATTTTATTTATTCATTGATTTATTTTTCATTTTTTTTTAATCTTATTTTATTTATTGATTATTATTTTTTTGTTCGTTTTTAGTTTCGATTTTTAAGTAACGTAGTAACAATTTGTTTACGTGTCTGCATTTTTGGGATGAGTTCTGATCGAGTAATTTCTGTTAGTCAAGAAAGGTAATTAATCCATTACCTGCCATGAGCCCCATTTGGGGATCTGTTAAAATCAAACTGACTACATCTTATTCCTTGTATTTACATTGAATTGCTTACATACATTTGCAGAGGTATATTTTACAACACTTAGCCTTTAAAGTTTTTATTATTAGCCGTAAGAAGACGCTTTCTGTCGTAATTTTCCATTTCACGAGTAAAAAAAATAATGATTATTTTGAAAAGTATTTTTTTCATTATTTCTAATCAATATTATTTTTTGATGTTTTATATACATATATATTTGATGTTCTAGTTTCTATAAAACGACAATGGCAACTACTGAAATTAAACATAAGGAATAAATAAATTCCTAAGACACATGTCTGGGCCAAAAGTGCGCATTAAAAAATTAGCAGTTAATGGGTTAAAGCTATTTTCTCCTCCGGACGGAGTATACAGTTTTGGGATTTATTCTTTTAGGCTGATGCTGTTTTCCATAATTTTCCATGATATTTTTGGTGTGAATTTGGTTTTCACTTTCAATTTCTCAAATATGTTTAGAAAGCGTTGTGCTGTTGGCGTATTTACGAATTGTAAAGGATGTTTTGTGTGCAAAATGAGCCACGACCTAATACGTTAAACAAGAAAAAAAAAAAACGAACAAGGAAAGAAAAAAGAAAGACCAAAAGTTAAACAGCCGTCTACACAGTAAATTAAAGTGCCTAACGTCTAGACTATGTAGACAGATAAAAAAAAATGCTTAACAAAGTCAGCATTCAACAAAGGGCAGTTCTTGTTGCTATTCCCGTTTCACACTATCCCGATCTTCAGCCAGTCTTCAATACCGAATGGACTGAACGCAATCTTCAGATTGCATGAAACAGCCTGTCACCAATCAGTGTTGATGTCAGTGTCCACTCTTATATTTACAAATGCTCTATCAAGGATATTGAGCACATTTAACAGTAAATACAACATACCTTTATCCCCCCATATATATATATATATGTGTGTGTGTGTGTGTGCGCGTGCGTGTGTGTGGTTGTATGTGTGTGTGCGTGAATGTGTATATATAGTAAAGGTAACAAATCCGTTGGTATATAATGCAAGTGGATCGTAGTAATATGAGAGGATTTGAGATGTTATGTTTATTATATATATATATATATATATATATATATATATATGAAGAAACATAGTTTTAAGGTGTGCTATATTTATGGGATAAAGTGCACCATATCAGAGATAGAGCGTATGTAAATATAAAAGTGAACATTGAAGTCGACACTCAGATGCGACAGGCTGTTTCATGCTAGATTCTATCATCATCTAGCATGAAAAGCCTGTCGCCTCTGAGTGTCGACTTCAATGTTCACTTTTTTATATATATATATATATATATATATATATATATATATATATATATATATGAAGAAATATCGTTTTAAGGTGTGCTGTATTTATGGGATAAAGTGCTCAATATCAGAGATAGAGCGTGTGTAAATATAAATATAAAAGTGAACATTGAAGTCGACACTCAGAGGCGACAGGCTGTTTCATGCTGGACGCAATCGTCAGGCTTATATATATATATATATATATATATATATATATATATAGTGGAATGGATATGAGTTTAGTGTCCGTCGGTTTCACACTTTTGCAATCCTCCGACAAAGTTTTGTCTGAGGATCTCTTAAGAGTGAAACCGACGGTCATATCCATTCAACTAAATATGCACCGCGCATATATTAAATATATATAAATAGAATTTCACACACACACAGAGGGAAAGAGATAGAAAGAGCGAGTGATGTAGAAATGAGATAAATAAAGATCAATCATATATGTGAGTGATTACGTACACATACAGGTAAACAAATAACTATTTAATCAGTGGTGTAGACAAAACAGCGATGAATACAGCTGAACAGTAAAGTCTGTAATTATTATTATTATTAGTAGTAGTAGTAGTAGTTCTGTGAAAAATTTTCAGCGTTTTGAAACATAAACCTTTACATCTCATACTTGCAAGAGACTCTTTTATTATATATATATATATATATATATATACATGTGTGTGTGTGTGTGTGTGTGTGTGTAAGTAAATGGATAGCATTTGTTTTTTTTCTGACCCCTTTTTCCTGACGTCTGCAAATGGAAATCAAAAATGGATTTCCTTTGGAACCGAGTCTGAAATTCTTGATGTTATTTCTTGGAGAAATTTCGCTTCGAAAAGACGTATACGGTTGGGATGAGGAAAGGACGAAGATGCCGCACGAAGAATTCTCTTCATTTTCTTTTCTATTTCCTGTCGCCTGTTTGCACATCAGAAACGTGTCAACCTCTCCAGATAGATTTCCACTCAGCACCCGATATGTGGCTATAATACAATACGAATATTCTTGCCAAACTCGTGTCTGTTACTACATTTCCGCGTTGAATTTGTTCGTTCATTTGTAGAACGTCGAACTACACATCATCACCCGAGCTGTTTTGACTTGAAAACACAATGTAGATTAGTATGATTTCTCATCTTCAGCATGCCTGCTCCTTTCCGAGCATGACCATCTGCTCAGGTCTAGTCCTGTCTCTTCAACACCCACAGAGACAGCCTGTGGTTTATACTAATCTGAGTGGTACTTAGTTACATTGCAAGTATATGCCCCACCAAGACCACATCAGTCAGTCAGTTAGTTATGTGCCATGCGTGATACACGATCATGTATCTTTCGATACATAACTGACGAGACAATGTTTTTCCCCGCAGTAAGTTGCCATTTCTTTCTGCAGTAGACAAGTTGCCATCCAAGGCTATAGAACCCGGTCTGTCCTGCTATTTACCCATAGCTGGGAGAAGAGGATTTCCCAAAGTTATTAGCGCGTAAGTGAATGTAATAGATTCGAGTGGAATTCGAACTCGGCTCTCCGATTCCTCAATCCAAGCCGCTTATCCATTACTCCACCGTACACAGATTTTGCCAGATTTTGTGTCGAGGCTGTCATTGAGAAAAGGCTTACCGTGTCACTTTATTCTCGGAGTTTAAATTGCCAACCACGGCTAGAAGGTCTGCCTTACAGTTTAACTCATATCTGATAGGAAAAGAGATGCTTTCATGCCTTTCCCAAGAGTAATTGTGTGAAAGTAAATGCAAGGATTTCGACAGAATTTGAACTTGGCTCGCAGATTTTCTCGTTCTGTGCCTGTAGCTATTACACCATCCGCGCATCCACTACGCAGCAGCATTCTCATTCAAGGTTAAATCATGACCATTCAAGCATCAGAGCTGTTTATTATACAACCCCCCCCCACACCGCCCACCGTGTATATAGGCTGACAAAAATCACAAGTGTGTCCTGTCCAGGTTCAAACCCCGGGCCTGAAGTTTCTCGTAGAGTGTGTAGATACCAATTAATCCTAAGCAGGAGTATCAGTCTTTACGGAAATCACACACACACACACACACACACACACACACACACACACACACACACACACACACACACACTCACCCCCCACACATGCACCCGAGATTTATTTTGCATGCTATCATACTAGTTAACATTCGTGTCAATCAGCTGTTGGCTCTCACGCTGGCCAATAGAATCTTCCTGCCAATTCGTGGCAGCCAGCTATAGGCTCTCACTCTGACCAGTAGAAAATGGACGCAAACTGCATGAAAACTGCCGTAGAAACATGAAAAAATCAATTATTTCCCCTATTGATGGAAGTTGGGAAATGCAAAGTCGGTCTTGGCCTTCCCGCTAACTTGGAGCATGTGCATGTAAATTTTGGATTTTAGAAAAAAGATTACTAGAAGTAAACTTATATTTTAAAATAAAATTTTATTCTTTTAATGTACTTTCTATGAATATTTTTCTAATCGACTATTTCATAGAAAATCCCCCAAAATTTAAAAAAAATTTAAATCACTAACAAACATCAAATTAAATTATTTGTAGACAGTTTAGAGACATTCAAATTTATATCAAACATTATAATCTTTATGAACCCCGAAAATAACACTTTCAAAGTAAAACAAAATAACAGCGTCTGTTTCTAGCCTTTTTTTTTTTTTTTACAAAGAAAATTAGTGACACCTTCTCTCATGCTTTCCTTCTCTCTTTTTCTCTCTATGGGTTTTTTCTTCTCTACCCCTTCGATATCAATATATAACTTCCGTTAAGTTAACCGTTTGAATGTGTCAATGCCTGCTAACTCACTCATGTCTTCTCTCTACCCCCTCACTTCCTCACTTCGTTAATTTACATGTTTAATACGACCCGTCAAAAATGTGTAAATTTCTTTTCATTTTTTGTTTCAACCTTTGGAAGTAACATCTGATTATCCGCAGTCCTTTAAAAAGGCTGTGGTGAAATAATTTATTACATGGAACCTTAAAGTGGTCTGTTTTTATTTAAATTATTTGCTCTGGATTTACATTGAGCTCTGTGGATTTTATCCTCCTTAGGTTTACCCATACGGATTACCTAGTTTTTTCATAAACTATATATATATATATATATATATATATATATATATATATATATATATATAAAAAAAAAACGCTCAAACACTAATATTCCATGGTAATAATTTATTACATTGGGATCGTAATCACGATCCAATTAATCAGATATACCAATTCAAAAAGAAATCAGAAAATATAACTCCGGGTATAAAATAATCAAAATTTTAGTGAGAGTGTATGTGTGGGAGGGGGAAACAAGTGTGAGAGGGAAATGTATGAAAGCTCTAGAGAGAGGGTGTAGAAGAAGAAAGCAAAACAGGCTTAAAGGTGAAGGTGGGGATTAAAATTTAACAGAGACAAAGTTTAAAGAGAGGAGTTAAATAACGGTTTAAATGAGTGAGATACAGATAAATAGGAATTATTTTTCGATGCATAATTCGCTACCAATTCGCTGACCTAAAATTTAAAATTAAAAAAACAAAAAACAAAAAAAAGTGACACCGGAAACGTGTGGATACATTTTATTATATTCTTACTCTGTCCTGGACATTGAATTCTACCTGGATTCTATCCTCTGGAAATATATATATATATATATATATATATATATATATATATATATATATATAAGCGCTACCTCGTGGGTTGGTATTAGAAACATTGTTGGTTCTTACGACGTGTCGCTACCATTTCAACTTTGTTAACGATGCATCCAGGATCGTTCAATGAGGCTGTTTCTTGTTTGATGATGTCTGGCAATTGTGCAAACTTCGTAGATGACGATTAGAATTGTTTTGTAGCATCTTATCTCTAATGCTGATGGATTCTTCGCAGTAATTCTTCTGTTAATGTCCAATATTCGCAAGGGATGACTTGAAGGCCAATGCCACACGACAATGTTGATTTACGGCAGATGTTATTGTGTTTCCAGATTGGTTCTTCATTTCAACAGCTGCCATTAAAGAAATATAATAGGGAGATGGCACAAAGAGACACTCTTTTCGTGACAGGATAGCCAGGAAGAGAGAGTGTGAAAGAGAGGCATAGAAAAAGAGAATAAGATAAAGAGAGACAAAGAAAGAGAAGGAAAATGAAAAGAACAGAGAGAGAGAGAGAGAGAGAGGGAGGGAGAATGAATTAAACAGGTAAAAATTGGGAATGCAAAATATAGAGGAGGAATGATAGAGAGAAAGAGAGAGAGTGAGGAATTGAGATAGTGAAAGGGATAAGAAAAGAGTGAAACGGAGAAAGTGAGAGAGAGAGTGTGTGTGTGTGAGTAAAGGGAAAAGGATAGAAAGACATAAAGCGTGAGACAGGGAAGGGCATGTAGAACGAGAGAGAGAGAGAGAGAGAGAGAGAGAGAGAGAGAGAAGGGAGCAGATTTTTTTTCAAATGAGAACAGATAAACAAAAAGACGAACAGATAAACAAAAAGACGAACAGATAAAGTGAGGTAGATAGAAAGGGAGACGGAGTGAAAAAGAGAGAATAACACAGATAAAGAGAGGAAGACACAGTGAGAGACATAGACTGTGAGAGACAGAGACATCATGAGAGAGGAAAAAAAAGAGGAGAGGCATAAAGATTTAGAGAGGGAGGGGGTGGATATTTTCTATTGTGTGAAAGAACTTTACAAGCGTTAGCCAGATTTTGTGTCGAGGCTGTCATTGAGAAAATGCTTACCCTTGTCACTTTATTCTCGGAGTATAAAATTCAGTTCTGATAATAATAATAATAATAATACTCTCCCGCTCATCAACTTCTAATTATAAAATGATGTAACTAGCAAAGGTCGCCACCCTCATATTCACATCACCATTCGCCCCCAAACTTGACGTCATTTATTTTTTAAAAGGTCGGACAATTTTGCAATGTTTGTATTAGAGGAAAGGGCATTTGGCACGATTCAAAGGGTTGAGTCTGGTGAATGGTCCTCCTCCCCTAACGCGTCCACCGAGGAACCAGCTTATCCAACCTATTCACATCCACGAAATTGATTTCCGTCCCCAGCGAAATTATCTTTAATAAATTTGAGGAGAGAACACAATACATTCACAATATTACCGATAATTGTCGCCATTTTGGATGCAAATAGTCGCTCACTTAAGCATTAAGCTATATCGTTACACACGTACAAATGTATACGCATGTATGTACATAAATGCAATTAAATATACATATATATATATATATATATATATATATATATATATATATATATATATATATATATATATATAGAACGTGTTGGTAAGTACTCGTTTTGACCCATATCTCGATTCGACCTACTTCCTCAAATTTAAGTAAATTATCAAACATCAGATTTTCTTTGGAACTTTTTCTTGGTCGGAGGGAGAAAATTTAAGTAATCTATCTATCTATCTATCTATCTATCTATCTATCTATCTATCTATCTATCTAATTCTGTTCATATCTATCTCAGTATGTTCATATCTATCTATCTATCTATCTATCTATCTATCTATCTATCTATCTATCTATGTGTGTGTGTCTGTATGTTATTAAGGACAGTGACATAGATTTAATTTTATGAATGACAGGTACCCCCGCCATTTCCTTTGTGAAATTCTTTTGGATTAAGTTCATCCACAACTTCCCCGTACTTCAAGATGAGGTTGTTTGTCAGCAAGATCTTTTCGTATAATTTGCAAAGCGTTTATCATTGGAATAACGAGACAACTATTTTGAATCTTTTTCCTCTGTAAGATTTTGTGCGCCACGCTATAAGTAGTTAGGATAGAGGTTCGTGGATCAAATAACATTTCAACTCACTTCCCCCAGCTCCAATTCCAACTAAACTTCAACTGTTTGTTTTCGCTCAAACACGCGATTAAATAAACGCGGTGGTAGCGACAAAAAAACCCGGGGTGTTGGTAACTTAGAATACAACCTGATTACTGACCTATCCCCCCCCGCTTCATGATTAAACGAACAGTCTCTTCTTCTCAATTGGAATTCCATAATTCATATA